TTTGTGTATCTTGGTATGATTTTACTTAAATATCTTTGCAAAAGGTTCATTTTTCTTGGAAATGTGGTATTATAAGCAGAACTAAATTCAGAAAGTTTAAATCTTTAAATATTTATTGCCTATTCCTTTCCATTTTGAGAATTATAATTATATGAATATAAGTTTCTCGGTTTTGACACAGTGAACTATTATGACTGATCTGTAAATTCTTTCTTCATTTTTATTTTGGACAGTTTTATTGTTATATTCATTTTTGTTTGTTAATAATTTATTTTCAACTTACAATCTATTAATTTTTTTTAAAAGAGCCAGGGAGATGGCTCAGTAGAAAAAAAAAAAGAGAATATCTTCAGTGATATTCTTAGCCTTAAAGGTATTGGAAGGAATGTATGAAACTAAGGTCAACTTTGGCCAAGAGAGTGACCTTTCTTTCCTATGAATTAAACAATATTCACTGGGACAAAAAAAAAAGAAAGTAAGAAAGAAAGAAACTGTGCTAGTAATCGGTTTTGAAACTGTCTCATTGCTATTTGTTTATCAATAAAGTTATTTAAAAAAAGATGGAAGGGGGAACAAGAGGAAGGAAAGGGGAATTTTTTTAAGATATGTTACATGCATGTACCAACTGCTAAAAGTAAGGTAATCATTATGTAATGTCAACATGAATTAATAAAGACTGAAAAACAAAAAAAATAAATAAAGTATAATGTTCAATTTCAAAAAGAAATAAAAACAAAACAAAACAAACAAAAAGATGATGATAGCAATAGAGTTGGGAAAAATAAGGTCAAATTATAAAAACTACAGAGGAAAAGCCTGGGCTTTACTTGTAACAACATGTATTAATAGGATACCTATAAGTCTGGAGTGTTGTAGCTGTGGGATAGTAAGGAACAAAGGAAAATAAAATTGCTCTGCACAGAGAATAGCATTTCATTTGAGATGTATGAAATGAATCCTCACACAGACTAGAAAATGTGAATTAATTCAGTTCTGGAGATCAAACTCAGGGCCTCATGCTAGGAAAGTAGTGTATCACTGGAATATATGCCAATATTTTACTTTTATAAAATGGAAATTTGGAAATCAGTTTAGTTTTCAAAATAAAAGGGCAGAATCAGAGTCCCTGGTGCATGACTGACCTCGGG